GTTGCTTTTTGTTTTATTTGATATTATATCTTCTTTCTTTTCTTATTTCAATTTTATGCGTAATTTCATTTCATCCATGTGTGTGTGTATTGTTCTCCTTTATTCTTTAAAAAAATATTTGTATTTGTATAATATTAAGTAGTCTTTTTTTATTCGTCTTCATTTTTTGTGTATTTTGGTCACATGTATTTAGAGGAAAACACTAGTATTTTTTGGAGGAGTTTGTGTTAGCCTAATGCTCAGATTGTTTTTTTAATGTCTGTTTTGTCTGTGGTTGACTATCTTAATTCAAACCAGCTATTAAATTTTGATCCAAACAAATTATATTGTTGGCATTATTTAATTTTCTACACCTTGATTATTTACATAATTTGTATTGGCAAGATTGGTATTGGTATACTTAACATTTCATTGTGTTTATTTGGTGTTTCTGATGGAACGTAGCCTGAATTGTAATAATTTCCTTAATCACGCACAAAAAGATTTGATTTTTGAAAAAAAATCAAAAAGATTTGAGATTTAATTTTTTAAGATTTGGATTCGGATTCAAGATTCAAAATTTCTGGATTCGACCATCACTAGTGACGATATATCGTTGTGATGTAATTATTTAACCGTAGCATGAATTTTATGAATAAAATCCCGTGGTTTGAAACATATGAAAAAATATTAAATTCCCTTTAGAAACAAACATTGTAAATTTCATTAACTTTTTTTACATAGTATACCTTTCATAAATAGTATGCCATGGATAACCCTACCGAGGAGGGGGGGGGGGAGAATGCAGAGACTGAGAGCAGTGATGGCGACCATCTTGACAACAACATTGACCCTGCGGAATTGGATACTGAAGACTCCTTTGATGAATATGATTCAGATTTAGAGGAACAGTTAGATTACAACCCTCAGTGAGCACTACTACAGCTGGTCTTCGTCACTTTCTTTTTACCAAGGAAAACAAACGCTGCTTGTAGACGACATATTTATGGAAAATACAGTGAAAGCTACATATCGGTATGCATGGGAGGTGTATGGGAAACCAAATCCAACACCCAATTCAAGGATAAATCAATTGAAAGAATTGAAATTGGTTGAACTAAAAACATTCATAGGCCTAACGATAAAGTACGTTGTGCAAATGATCGCCTTTATAAAGTCAGACTGCTCATCAACCATTTCAACTTGACGATGGAAACAGTGTACTACCCATGCAAAGAACATTCCTTGGATGAAGGTACAGTTTAGTGGAGCGACCGTCTCATCTTCCGGCACTACATCAAAGGAAAACGCCATAATAATGGCATCAAGATATACTCACTTTGCGAACCAAATGGCATGTGCGTTAGGTTTACAATCTATTCAGGCAAGGGAGGTGAACTTGGTGGGATGGGCCGTGCAGAGAAGGTTGTCAAACACCCAATTCAACACAAACTTCATGTTGGACACTCCCTTTACATGGACAATTACTACAAGAGCTTCCCATTCCTCCCTCCCCTACTTCTTAGCACGCAACACGTATTATACTGGTACCCTGAGGTCTGATCGCAAGTAACCTAAGGAAGTGAAGCTAAAGAAAGGTGAGATAGTTGAATGCTACTCTGAAGGTGTGTTGGTTGCCAAGTGGCACAACAAACGATCTGTGCTGTACATGTCAACGGAGTTTGAAAACCAAGTGGTGTCTAGCACGAACAAAAGGAAGCAAGTCTGCAAAAATCCTCTGCCTATAGTCCAGTATAATGGTTACACGAAGGGCGTTGATTGCAACGATCAAATGATGGCTTATTATCCAATATAAGAGCCTGCGATGGTACAAAAAAATGTTTGTCCATTTACTGCAAATGATCCTGATCAACTACTTCAAATTGTATCAGCAAGCCTACAATAGAGAAATAAAAGAAATCTTTGTATCATTACCGACTCAAAATCTTCGACTTATGGCTTCCTCTGAAGACTGGCCCGTGTCCAAAGCGTCCCGGCAGAACACCAACATCACCCATGTCCTATCAAAGTCAGACAAGCAAACTCATGAACTGTGTATCGACCTGTACCATGCACAGTAAAGAAGTTTTAGGGGGGGGGGGGGGAAGGAGAATGTTTTTAGAATAGGTAAACATTTATGACTTTTTAATGTATGCATTTGTGATAATTTTATTTATACATTCAAGACTTTTTCCATTTCACAATTGGAGGTGAATTCTCCTTGAATGGAAGTTGGGGGCAGACAGAATCCAATTCAATCTTCCCGAGCACACGTTCCCCCATCTTCTGAAAAAGTTGTGTGATGCAGTTTTGCTCCCACACAAGTGTTGAAGAAGATAGTTCAGAAGCAGGGAGAGGAGTTCCAGAGTCGCCGACCAAGAAACCCAGAGAACTGGTAGGAGAAGCAGTGATTTATTTCCTGTCCAACTTGCGTCATTCACCTCATCAAAATCAAGTTAAGAGGAAGAAAAAGTCATTGTTCCTCCTGGCGTGAGCTTCTCTACCCAGGAGATTAAAGCTGAGAGGGTTCAATTATCAATTATCAATTATTTAAGATGGGGACGCCACTATGTGCGTATTTTAACCCAAATATGAGTGAAGGATGAGTGTAGGATGAGTGGCGCGATCTTGTAGTCTTGTTAGTGACTAAGGCCGACATGTTCCTTAGACACAGCTGTTAATTAATAGCCCATACAGCTAATGGCAACTAAGGGACCTACAGTTTATTGTGGAATCCGAACCACATTTTTTCCTCGTAATTAACGAATTGGTCTAATTATTTAGGATAGTACTGCGGATAGTCGTAGTACTCACTAGTGCGGACGTTAATCCACACCAGGTAGCATCGCATCCACAGTGCATCCCCTATAATTATCCACAATTCGTGACCTCCTAGTAGCTGGATTACAGGACGACGCCACCCGTCCCAGTCAGGTTGATGACCCTGGACCATCGACCAGTGACCAACCTAACGGCACTTAAAAGAAGCGGGCTCAATGTGACCTACCAGGAAAAAAGATGAGGATGAGACAAATTTTGTCGTCAAGTGAGGAGATTGACTTTGACAGACTCTTCTGATGAGTTTCAGAGGCCAGAACCTGAAGGGCCACCAGAAAATGACGGCGAGCTCGTATTCAAGGACCCATGTACTGGAGATTGTTTGCTCGTGAAGTTTACGGGGAAAAGGAGCACTAAATACTTCGTGGGGCAGGTGGAGGATGTTGTTTCTGGAGGACTTTTTGTCAACTTTGCCAGAAAAAGTAAAGGTGAGGGGTTTGTTTTTAAGTGGGCAGAGCCCGAAGACAAATGTGTGGTGGACTATGATCAAGTGGTTAGTAATCTGGGACTGCAAACATTTAACTACAAGAATGATTGCGGAAAAATTTGGAAATAACGTGCTAAAACGAGTGGTTTTGAAGCTATTTTGAGGGCCTAGTTTAATGTGTTCAAGCTTCCCAGTTTATTTAAAGGTCAAAGAAATGTCTAAAAATAAACTTGTATAATGTCATGTTTTTGCATTATTGAGACTTGGGGTTTTAATATCAAAGGAATACCGCAACTTTACAACACATTCAAGCATTATTGGTTTACGAAAACACCCTTTCAACTCATGGTGGATGTATTTTTGTTTCCACCATGCTTTCAACTGGTGCCAATGTGCATGCTAAACGGAAAATGTCCAGAATCAGACCGAGATTTCGAACCAGAGAACTTATTTGATCTAAGAAGTGTTTAAGAACTTGGACCCAAAACGACTGCATTATACCTGCCCAGTAAGCAACAGTTAACCAACACAAAGTACACTACCGGTACCCAACTAATGTTGCCGTCGGCGTCCCACTGCTACCGCCTGGAGAATTGGTTCTCAGTGTTCTCATTTTTTCTACGCCAGTGCCAGTGGCATTTTACAAGGGGTCAATGTGAGAATAAAGTTTTTGTGCAACGATTTTGTGGTTGTGCTGAGAATTAAATCTGTCCCTTCCACATCTAAGTCTGAGACACTACCATTTTGTTGTTGTTTTATGGCTAGCAACATGCCAATTGGGCTGTGGTATTCTTATATATGATATCAGGTGCTCTAAATATGAATACTATTAATATTGAAAGTTTTGAAATTTGCTACGGTAATCATTGAATTACATTACTGTAATTACAAATTCCTAACGCTCAACTCAGATAAATTAATATTCAACTACCTTTCAAGCTTTGACTATTGATACAACTTCTTTTCTTTATCCAATACCCAAACCCAATTCAAGTTTTCAATCATCTAGGTTAAAATGAATTATAAATGCCGAAAAATTAAATAGGAAGAAGAATGCGACCGAACGTCGAATGTCAGCATCGGACACTGCCGTTGCTGTATATGGCTGAGAGCGTCCGTCGTCTGCCGATCTTCCCTACTTTTCATAATGTACAAACGATGAGTTTTAGGTTAGAGTTTGTAATTAGTCCTTTCATTCGCCACAAATGTAAAGACTACGATAAATTTCCATTTGGCAGAACGATTTGCAATAAAAATTATTAAAGTTCCCCTGGTATAATAGTTAATATATATAAAAAATATTTTGGGGGGGGGGGTCATGACCCCCCTGACCCCCCCCCCCTGGGACCGCCCTTGGAAAAAATAAACAATTTTTCATTTCATTTTCATTTCAGTATCAACCAAGAGAGGATAGAGGTTGACTCAGAAAACGATTAGAGACATTTCAAGAAGTAATATTGCAATTTTAACTGATTATAGGTCTGTAAACATGTATTTTTAACAGCGTTTCTTAACATAAATGCTCTCTGGATACGTAAAAGTGTTGTATTAAATTATTTTAGCGGTTATACTCCATATTATCCTAGTTTGCCCGTATCCGAGGTGGTTCCGGTCCCGATTACCTCGGATAATCGCAAGTCTACTGTAATTTGAAAAAGTTGTTTAGCGTAATCAAACCCTCAGTACAGCTCCAAATTTTAGTGGCTAAAACATTTTCATGTAAAATTGTATTATTCAGAGGGTCCACTGTACTCACAGGAAGCAGGTACAGAGGCTACTGTAGAGCTACCCTTCCCAGCCTCTAAATCTTTGAGAGTTTCCCACACAATCTGTATGATGGGGAGGCAGAAGGCCCCAGTCTTGCCACTACCCGTCTCTGCTGCCATCAGAACATCCCCTCCGCCTAGGACGAGAGGGATAGCCTCTGCCTGGACATCTGTTGGCAACCTGTAAACACGGTCAAATGATCAAATGTCTTTGTTGTCAAACCTATTTAAGGCTTTAGTTGATCTTTCATTAAAAAACTGTTTTTTTTTATTCCCATCCATGATAAAAAAATTTTAAAACTAACAATGCGAAATAAGTCTTGTAATTTTATAATGAGGTAAAGCAATCCTCTTCCACACAGCTACAGGTCTATTTTAGAAGACAGGCACAAAAATTGACAAATTATTGGTGTTATAATGTATTGTATAATGTGAGGAAACCTTATCAGGATTTTCTAGAAATCTTTAAGTTCTAATACATAAGTTCTAAGTTCTATCTTTTAGTTCTGATAGACGCAGATCCAGATTTTGTCCTCCCAAATGAGCATAGTGGAAGTGAAACAGATTCCGATGAGCCTGATGATGAGCCTAGCCTGATGAAGAGCCTGATAATGAGCAGCAGCTTGCTGATATTGAGGTAAGCGAAAGTGCTGGTTTGGATGATGACTTACCTGAATATGTCAGTAGATGTCTAGGAAAAATGAACTTGGACCAGGATACCCCTGGTGTACTAGATGTCAAATTTCCAATTCTTGTTTGCATACACCTGCTCACAATATTATTAGAGGTTGGTTGCCAGGATTAACAGCAATTTTTTTACAAATTTTTGTGTTTTTATAAACAAATTATCATTAGCTTTGTAACATAATTATTATTTTCTTAAAGCTCTAAATTTCCGAATTGAAATTATGCATTATTTGTGACGTTTTGATTAAAACTGAGAATGTTTGAGTTTTTGAATTTAAAAAAATACCCAGTAGGATGACATATAACCAAAGTTAGTGCCCTCAGGGTTCAATGTGTTAAGGGAGTATAAAGAAGCGGACATTGTGGGCGAGATAAGAAGCAGCAACATAGATGGACTGGACATGTACTAAGTAGAGAAGAAGAATCCAACCTGAAAAACATCATGAACGGTGGAACGAAGAGAACCCAAGGAAAGACCAAGAACTAGATGGTGGGAACAGGTCAAGCAAGATATGGTGTTTTCACACTACACAGCACGTCGCCAGCATTGCAACAGCAACAGCACAGTAGCAGGGGTCCTTGCACACTTGACAGCAATGACACGCTAAGAGCGCAATATTTTAACTGCAGTCAGTGCAGCCAGCTTTTAGATTTGGTGGAAGCAACATGGCTGAATTTAATCGAAAATAATATTTGTTGTACTTAAGAAGTAAGCGTCAGTCAGAAAGAAAGAGGTGGGTTCACACCCTGTTTTGAAAGTGCGGTATGTTGATGGTGCTTACTACAATTTATTTGAGTAGTTAATTTGTGATCCTAAGAAATGTTTCAATTTCTTTCGTATGAGTAAACCAACATTTCATTATTTATTTTCTTTTTCCATCTTGGAAACAAAGCACGCACCTTGTACTCAGACCAGGGCTGTGATGTATTGTACTGAATGACAGAGACTACTGACGCAGACGGTGACTGCACGCCAACAGCAACGTCGGGGGGGACAGCGGCTCGCCAGCACGTCCCGTCACGTCGCCAGCACGTCACCGTCACAGCACCAGTGTGTAGCTTTCATATGATAACATTACCGACGTCGACGGGCCAGCGCTGTGCTGGCGACGAGCTGTGAAGTGTGAAAACGCCCATAAGATACGCTTGGGAGTTCAAGAAGAAGATGCTGAGGACAGAGACTGTTGAAGACTGTGTTTCTGAGGCCAAGTAGGCCGACTGACTGGGGTACAAATGGCCATAGCAGTACATAAGTAAAATCAAATCAAATTTATTTATTTTCATCCGGAACAATTAAGAAAAATAAAATAGGTTGCATTTTACAAATTGTCATAAAACAATTTAAAGTCTTTTTTTTTTTTGATTGTCCGGGAAGGGTTAAAAATAAACACACACAAAATACAAAAATTATAATCATACACTTACATCCAGTCCATTTCTTCCACTGCCTTTCCTATTTCAGGAAGAACGCCCATTTCTGAAATGAATAAAGCTTATTGAGTGAATTTTGTTATATATATATATATATATATAAGTACCGGTATATAAATATAATAATAGTCCTCCCTATTTTTACAATGAAAAAGTATACATTGAGCTTCAAAATAACTATTGAAAGTCGGTCTATACATATGATCGACCATTTAAAGTGCTCGATAAATCTCGCAACATGGTCTCAAATATGTAATGACTCACTTTCTACTCTTGTTATAAACTATACTATTTGAACCACTATAATTTTAAAGTCTAACCCCAATTTAGTTTTTCAAAATAGAAAGGGATCAAGCTGTATGTTTAAAAAAATTCTTCCAGACTAATAGCAGAAAATATAACAAACGATACAACTCAATGAGCCATAATTCAATCGGTGAGCCGAGCGTAGAGAATTGCAATACAAGAATTTATTAAGTAAAGTTACAGGCCCTTAAAGAAGCCAAGACCAGAGACAAATTTAAATGGATAAGCTCTTTGGGGGCCCTGTTATGAGTTGTGAGTGGTGTCAAACCATCTAAACACAGGTATCGCTGCCACCACTTAAACTCTTTGAAGGGAGAGTACCCCCTAATGGGATCAGGATTCTAAGAAAATATTAAATTTTGCAATAATCAAACTTGAGCTAAGGTTTATTGAAACGCAACAATGTTATGTAAATTTAGAATTGAAAAGCAATAATGTCTACAGTACGATAGGTGATGCACGCATGATACCTCGATGACAATGTTCGTCTGCTCTCCTTCCTATATCAAGGTAACTTTAACCTGTCTTCTCTTCGTAACACTTGCATTAAAGTTGCGTGATTGACTAAAGTAAAAGACCTGGTATTTGGATTTCACAATTCAAATACCAGTGTTGGGTTAATTGCTACATAGAGTACAAAGTTATTGATGACATGCCCACCTACTTAGTCGATCTGACCATTGAATTCGGTGGACTCAGCGATTGCAACACGGAGGAACTGAGTTTGAGCTTTTTAACAAAAACGTAACACACTAGTCAACAGTCCGTCCTTTGGGACTCCAGCAGTCGCCTTGTTGTAAGGCGACAATTTTTTTATACTTATAATTTTCCAGTATAAGTCTAGTATTTTCAGTGATTGTCTGAGGTAATCTGATTACTATTTGAATCTTAAGGTTAATAATGTTTAACAATTCAATTTATTTTGTTATAATTTTTAGATCAAATATTCTATAGCACTTTACATTTTCATTTTGGTGTGCATGAACTCAATAACTAGATTAAAAAAATTAAATTATTCATGAATTCTCATATTTATTAAAAAAGTTATTGCTCTATTAATTCTCTTGGCAATGATAAAGTAGCTTATTAGTTTCTCTATACCAGTATTTGTTTTTGTCTTATGATCCCTAGCTACAACCCCCTGTCACAATTTTGAGCGTGACACCAGGATATCACAGCGTCAAACCTTCTGGTTCAAAAAGAGAAAAAAAATTGATCCTGTATTTATTCTTCTTTTTCTTCATACATTTACGAAACAATAACCGTCCTCTTCACAGGCTCATGCCTCTTATCGACAATTTTTCACATTACTGATAGTAAAAATAAGTCCCAGAATGACAAACTTTCAATAATCTGAGGTAGTCATTGACTATATGAACCAAAAGTTTTCTCTGATATATTTGGCTGATGAAAATATTGCAGTTGACGAAAGCTAGATGAAATTTCGTGAGGTTGGAGTATGCTCAATTCAACCCCAAGAAAAGAGCCAGGTTCGGCATCAAGTTTTGTAAAAGTTGTGAGTCAAGCAGTGGATACTGCTCAAAATATAAAATATACACGAGGGTTGAAGTCAAACAAGGTGACACAGTGGAGGAAGGGGGTGGAGACATAGCTGAGGAGGATAAACTTTTGGTGAGCGAGGCCATAGTCATTGAAATGGTAAAGGAATGTTCTGGAAATGGTCATACTCTGACAATTGACAACTGGTATTCCTCACCTCTCCTCTACCATAGGTTGAAACAGATTAATTCGATGTGATTGGATATGTCTGAAACTTTCAGAAGTGGAAAACTTGCTGTCGGTGACAACGAAGTTGCTTTTAGCCATGACATGATGGCTTTTAGATGGCAGGACAAAAAAGAAGTATGTATCTTGTATACTTTCCATAGTAAAGGGAACAAGAAAACAGCTAGAAAGAGAGAGAGACAGAATCAGCAGAGAAGTGATAAACAAGCCTGAATTCGTCCCCTTCTACAATAGCTTGCTGGGCGGTATCAACCGAGAGGAACAACAACTTGATTCTTTTCCTACAATGAGGAGATATGCCAAAGGGTATACATTTTTTTATACTGGACATGGCTCTCTTCAATTCTTATGTTGTTTTTAAACAACTCACCAAGAAGATGGGATTTGCTTAGTTTAAAAATACATTTTACGGAGCAAATGTTCCAGACCAGACAACTCCTGGCCTACAAACAGAGAGGGCGACCGGCTTTCTGGGTTTAACATTAGATGAACATTTTAATTGGGATAAACACACACAGAAAGTTTTAACCAAAATTATCTTCGGAATTTTCTCATTCTCATCTTTCATTCAGTTTAGCCATTATATGGGTCAACAAAAAAATTAAACATGAATTGCATTCTGAAGCGGCAAAAATAGGCAATCAGTATTATGCTTAAGCTTAAACGAGATGATGAGGCAAAAGATCATTTTAAGAAATTATAAATTTTTACAGTTGATGGGCGATATATTTATGAAACAATTCTTGTTGAAAAAAATGAATCTGAGCAAGTAATAAATTTAGTGCATTCTTATAATTTCAGGAGGAGAAGGGAGTTTGTCCAGCCTCATAAATTATGTTATGTATTAGCGAGCAAATTGTCACAAACTATGAGGAGGAACTACTCCTGGACAAAGCCAAAGCTGGTGAGGACCAGGACCAACTAGAAAGGGGCTGCGCCTCTTCTTTGATCTCGGCGCGGTGCCGCTTCACTGGGGGGGGTATAGCGCTGTGACTTAGCTGGCCTGACACCGCTGTAGCCAGCTCAATCCGGGTGATATGTTGCGTATAGGTCCAGGAAAGTAGACCCATCACTTGGAACAATGAGTAGAAATGTACCTGAAGAAAGTTTGGACAATGAAGCGTGGCTGAAGACTTTATCTCATCGTAAACTAACAGTACCTTCGGTAGAGTGAAAAAAACGATACAAAAATTAGAAATTGTATTTTTAAATTTTCACAGAGAAGATATCTATTTTTATTAGTTTTATTATTTAGATCACAAGGAAATTCTTGCAGGAGTCTTCATTGACATCCAAGGAGCCTTTGATAATGTGTTCTATCATTCAATAGAGGAAGCACTGATAGACAGAGAAATTCCGCAAGAAGTTGTTTGTTGAATAATGGCTCTGCTGCAAAGCAGAGATATATCAGCCACGGTCGGCGACTAGTTACAGTCGAGGCCAGAAGAGGGTGTCTGCTAGGAGTCTTATCTCCCCTACTATGGACACTCGTGGTCGACAGCTTGCTGAGGGAAGCTGAACAAACAGGCATTGCCCTACAGGCCTTTGCCGATGATCTAGTGCTGACCGTGAGAGGGAAACACTAAGGTACTATTGAGGACCTTACCCAGCGGGCAGTAGATTTCATCGACAATTGGTACAACACAAACAAAGGTTTGACAATTAACCCCACAAAAACTGAGCATCTGACCTTCATGAGGAAATGGAGAACCAAAATCTTCCCACCCCAGAAAATGGGAGTGAGGGTCAAGTCAGTCAAGGAGACTAAATATCTGGGTGTATACTTTGATGAGAAGTAGACTTGGAACAGGCACATAGATCACGTCATAGCCAAAAGAACAGGAGCCATGGGTGCCTGCAGAAGAACATTTGGCAAAAAATGGGGACTCAACCCGAGACTGATCTGGTGGATGAAGCCATAGTCAAGCCTATGGTGGAATATGCATCCCAGGTGTGGTGTGGTGGCAGAAGGCAGAACAGACTGGGGCAGCTGCTAAGCTGCAAAGACTTGCCTGCACGGGGTATGTGGCACAACAAGATCATGACCGACAGTGGTGATGGAGTCAATTCTAGGCGCACTCCTATTTGGACTGGATATAAAAAAAGGGCAGCCCTGGAGACTTGCAGCAAAGGAGAAATATCTCTTTCGAGAAGGACAAGTCACATGTCAATTCTAAGGGAATTCCCAAGTTTAGACATGGAGATGACGGTCTCAGATCTCATGATTAGGAAGCACGACATTGCTAAACCCTACCAAGTGGCCATAGCAGACAGAGGAGAGTGGCAGAAGCTAAGGGAAAACACAGGCGATGGTATTTTACACAGATGGATCACGGAGGAAAGGCAGGTCAGGACTTGGGAATGTATGGGATTGGAATCCACCTCTCAAAGGCCCTCGGCAAAACGCCAACTGTCGTCCAGACATGGCAGTAGAGCATTGTGTAAGACTGCAGCTAGATAAAATTCTGAAGAGGAGAGTGATTCTTATCCTCTCAGACAGCCAAGCTGCTCTCAAAGCAATCGACACCTGCGTGGTGGAATCGAAAGTGCAGAACTGCAGGAGCGCCCTGAAGGCTTTGGGCGAACACAACAGAGTACAACTTGCATGGATCCCAGGTCACACTGGGCACAAAGGAAACAAAAGAGCTTACGTCCTGGCGGGCGAGGAAGTCCGAACTCGTCAAGCCTGAACCATTGTGCGGTGTCCCAGTGTGCAAAGGCCGAACAAAAATCCTAGCCTGGGAAGGGGGATAAAAAAAGGTATGGTTAAATACCCCATGCATAAGACAATAAAATCATCAATCTTCTTAGTAGGGAATGGAGAAACATCTTTGACCTCCAAAAAAGGGAAATAAGCCCCTTGATAGGCCTCCTTACAGAGCATGGCCAAGTGAGGAAGTACCTCAGAACAATATGGCTTAAACAAACGGATCAGTGCAGATTATGCCTCTCCGAAGCGGGATCCGCTGAGCACATATGGCTGGAATGTCCGTT